CCAGAGCTGTTACACACGGAGACCCTGTCCATAGATGGATGGTTGGATGGATGGATGGATGGATAGATAGATAGATAGATAGCTAGATAGCTAGATAGCTAGATAGAGATAGATAGCTGCTGGCTCTCCATACTGGACCTGAATATAATATATAAATGATTAAAAAGAAATGGTATCTACCACCAAGTAACTAACAGTGTTTGAATATAATAATTACACTACAACTTAGCAACATACTTCCAAGAGAATTATGACACATAGCAGGGACATGAAACCTAGCCTGATATATTTAATTAGACTACTCTCTGACTACTCTCAGTCTCAAAGAACCTATTTTCAAATTCAAGGAAGCATTAAACTGCTGGACCTACGTAGGAACTTAAATATGTTATTAAATATGAGCATGAAGATGAAGGAAGAACAATTTAGCTGAAGAGAGTATCTATAAAATAGCTATGGAGAAACTGCTATCAAACACTAGCAATGATTTTTCTAAAGCACTATGTGCCTTGAATTCTATTAACTGCTTTCATTTTACCTCACAACCCTTTCAATTAGGAATAATTATCTTGCAATTGATGGCACAGGAAAGGATAGGCCAGCTTGATACAGAGATACAGAGCTTTGAGTGGAAAAAAACAGAACTGGAACCCAGCACAGAACAAATCCTGTGACTTCAAAGCCCTCTAGCTTGCTGCATCCCTTAGTGGAGGCTGTAGGGGGAGCCATTGAAAGCCTTTTAAACTAGAGCTGTTCATTCAGAAACACTGGTTTTGCCATGGGGAAGCTAGAGCATCTAGAGGTGAATCTAGAAGGGGAGAGTGGCCTGTGGTAAAATAGGTGAGATGATGTCAGCATGTAGTATGGCATTAAGGATGAAGACAGATTACAGGGGTTGTTTAGAAGCAAAATGATCAGTTCTTAGTAATTAGAAAAGAAAAAAAGTAAAGGCTCAGCTACGTGCACACATGTAGCCCCAGCAGACAGGCTTCGGCAGGTGTGCCTTAAGCACCAGGGCAACCTAGGCTGCATAGCGACAGTTCATAAGTAAGGGGTTAATGAGAGAAGAAGCCTGGAATGTTAACTGGGAACCAGATGACACCTGACTATCAGCTACCAGAAAAAAGGAGCAATGGCTTTCATCAGTAAGTATCTACAGAATGTCCCAAGCACAAAAACAAAACAAAAAACCTTTCCCTAAAAGCAAGAGCCAAGTCTAATTATGTCCTAGTGGTCAGAAAATATTCTTCAAAGCATATGACAAAACATCAAAAAATATATAAGGTAGATAGAAACGTTTTCATTACTATTATTAGGCTTGGCTAAGAGTACAAGGAAAACATTTGTACTGTCTTTTAACAAGTATTACTACAAAAAGTATTACTACATGCAATAATCCATAAACGGCATCCCATAATTTTACAATGTGCCATTATACTTTAGTTTGGTAGATCTTCAATCTTTTACACAAGATTATTTTTCTTGATCTTCGTCCTCTAAAGTTGTATCTTTTACAAAATATACAATACAGTTGGATTTTTCTTTCATTCCACTGTTACCACTGTTATTAAGCTGCCAAGAACTTAGTTCATAACTTCCTCACTTGACTTCCTATAAAATCTGACCTACTTCACATCAGCTCATTTCAGTAACAGTTCCTAGACCTTAAGCATCTATGGGGCTCCGCATACTCTAGGGTGCACCTCTGCAGATGTGGCAAGTTATTCCATTCCCATTCTACAGTTAGGAAACTGGCAGAGGAAACAGAATAACTTGGGAATAATCACAAAGCCAAACGCCAAAAATAACAACTTTTAGTCAATCCATGAGAAAATACTGCCCCTAGCTGAAGTAACATGAATTTAGTATTAGGAGGAAGCAAAATGCAAAATAACGCTTCAAGCCAAGTCTTATTTCTAAAAATGAGTGACCCTCAGAATTAAAACATGTAAGAACTTTAAAACAATCATTTTCCTCTAATGCCAAAGATTATCTAATGAATTACATCTGGCAACAGCAGCTTTTTCCTTGTTTATCTTACCAATTTAAGAGACAGTAGGAGAAATCTCTGAGTATATGGCAAGAAGTAACATTTACATAAATTTAACTGTTTAAAACTGGAGGCCTAAAAGTGTGTAATACAACAAATCTAAAAAATTCTGCAAGCCAGACTCATAGTTTCCCTACAAACATGTGGGGATAATAAATTTAAAGCTAAAATAGTCAATCCTCAAAAAGTTCCCCAGCCACAGTTCATTTCTATTTCCAAATATGCTTCTAAGTTAAGGCACTGGTTTTTTTTTTTTTTATTTTGTGAAAATTCTTACATGATCGTTGCTCAGGCTTTTGGCTAAGATAAACTACAGAAGTCTCTCACATGCTTAGAAACAACACAACTCAAGTTGTACAGCTCACTTAGGGCATCTTTGTGATCGTTCTTAAATGCACAAAGCAGAGCAAACTACATCCCATTATTATACAGCATTTATATCATGCTTACAACAGAACCAGCGTGCCTGATGTTAACCTCGAGTTATGCACTAAGTATGAGACAAATGCAAATTCTCATTTAAACCCTTCATGTATTGTTCCTAAGAAGCTGGTTCCCCTGAAAGTATTCAGCCCATTAATTCTAATCACCATAAAGGCTTTCCAGAGTCACCATCTATGTCCTCACCAACAGCCCTTTGTGCGGCTTTATTACAGAGATGACGCTGGGAGTGATTCCATGGGTAATGCATCTTCTAGAAGTAGTGATCAACCAGCAGACAAAAACTCTGGAATAACACATTCAGAATTAACAACCTGATGCATTATTTCTAGCACAATAATTCAGGCCATTAGTATACAATACCCTACACCACGCCCCCAGCCAGCACCCCTAGCTCTTAATATTACCATAACAATAACAGCTGAAAACTTAATGCCGCCGTAACAGAAGGAAGTACCTTTCAATTAACCAAACTAAAAGCTATCACTGTCTTTTGACTGCCTGTAATTAATATATTCCACAAAGATCCTAAAACCAGTATTCAAACCAAAACTGCGCTCTGCTCCTTGGCACCTGATCCCAACAGGAGTTGCCACATACCCACAGAAGTAAAAAGCATAAACTGCAAATTCAAATAATCAAAAATGGTAAACTCACTTAAGTTATTAAGAAGCAAACCATTTATTTATCAATTCCCAAACGAGATGTCTCTTCGCTATAAAGCAGGAGTAGAAAAGTAATTAAAGTAAATCTAGATTCCAGAAAAAAAAAAAATGATAAAATTCTCCACCCCAACAATCACAAGTTTTCAGCATCAAAATTCACTAACCTCCTACTCACATCAAATGAATATCCACTATGAATATCTGAAACAATTCTCCAACACCAACAAGAGAAAAAAAGAATACCTTTGTGCTCACTTCTAACAGTCTTACAATATACCCTTCCCATTTACCCTCAGGTAAACCCAGGTGCAACGCTACTGCGGATGCCCTTGGCCTGGGCCGTCAAAAGCCAACAGCGGATGCAAGACAAGTAACCATCAAGAAATCTAGATCTTTTCCAGCGTTACTGTTACCAAGCAAAACAATCACAGGCACAGAAAGATGGCAAAGAAAACTGGAGTCGTTTTAATCCCAAGAGAAAGGCGCATGGATGTGGGCTGAGGGATTTGATCACGGAAGAGAGGGGTGCGGAGGAAAGGAGGGGAGCGGAAGAGCAAACTTAAGTATCCCCAAGAATCTTCCAGACTCAAACAACAAAAGCAAATCTTTGAGTCTGTGTGCACGTAGAAGCACCAGATGGAGTCCCCGGGGCTGAGACAGTTCAGCAGACAGACACAGTGGGCAGTGGATAAATCAAGCAAGCAGCGACGCGAGGGGAAGGGGATGCTACGAGAATGAGCCGCTAGATAGCGAAGACAAAGCCTCTGGGGGTGACTAGGGACCCGACAGAAAAAAAGGTGAGAGGGGATACACAGGAGAAAGACAATGGAAGAAAGAGAAAGGCAGGAACCGGGTGCCAAGGCTGTGGCAGGTCAGCCGGCTCCTGACGAGAGGGCTACAACAAAGGGGCGCCGGGGGAAGGACGCCGGAGCGGCGATGCGGGCGGGACGCGGGGCGCGCAGCGGTGCCCACCGAGCGCCTGGTGCGGCGAAACAAAGGGGCCGGGGGCAGAGTCGCGGGGGGCAGCGCGCACAGACAAAGCGCCCGGGCGCCGGGGGCAGCGGCGGAGCGGACGGGCGACGCGGGCCGCCGGGAACAAAGCTGCGCGGGGGAGCCGGCCCGAGCGCGGAGGGGGCGCGCGCCGGCCACGGCGCCCACGGCCCCGCGCGCCGG